AAAAAAAGTAGCAATTAAAATAAAGGTAAGCAGCTACTATGAAGTATGGTATTGAAGCTTATATATATAGGTTTAAACCTGTATGTATATTCGTAACTGTACCTTTCCTTCACCAATGATTCTGTGCCACGATCCATAGTTTCCAGCTATATTCTAAGCTAATTTATAACCTCATCTGAATGAACCGTTAAAGTTGATCTTCATTAACGAAACTGAAAGTTTATTTATTTGTTTATAATGAAGCACATAGCTACACAATGGGCTATCTGTGCACTGCCCACCACGAGTATCGAAACCCTAGCGTTTTAAGTCCGCAGACGTACCGCTGTGCCACTGGGGAGCCATTAATTAAACACTGGAACTTATAACTTGTGTACAGGTTTACAAACGGATCTCTAAGTTAAAGAAGATATTGTTGATTCAGTTCATGAAAATAAGAACGGAAACAAACTTATACCAGAAGAGTAAATTACTGAAACTTTAGTTAAACAAGTATAAGTGATTAAAAACGATAAAAATATCCAACTTTAACTTCTTTCTGAAGAAACTACTACACACAGTTATATATGTATATATAGGTGTGGACTGGGTAGTAATACAAGTTAACCTAATCTTATTGACAATGAATGAGCCATGTATGAAATTTAGATTGTAAATTATGGACATACTGTACAATGACCCATGCATTAAATCTAGATAATAAACTATGGACACCCTGTACAATGACCCATGCATTAAATCTAGATAATAAACTATGGACACCCTGTACAATGACCCATGCATTAAATCTAGATAATAAACTATGGACACCCTGTACAATGACCCAAGCATAAAATCTAGATAGTAAATTATGGACACACTGTACAATGAGCCATACATAAAATCTAGATAGTAAATTATGGACACTCTGTACAATGAGACATGCATGAAATCTAGATAGTAAATTATGGACACTCTGTACAATGAGACATGCAAGATGTTTAGATAGTAAATTATGGACACCCTGTACAATGAGACATGCATGAAGTTTAGATAGTAAATTATGGACACACTGTACAATGAGCCATACATAAAATCTAGATAGTAAATTATGGACACACTGTACAATGAGACATGCATGAAGTTTAGATAGTAAATTATGGACACCCTGTACAATGAGACGTGCATAAAATCTAGATAGTAAATTATGGACACACTGTACAATGAGACGTGCATAAAATCTAGATAGTAAATTATGGACACACTGTACAGTGAGACGTGCATGAAATCTAGATAGTAAATTATGGACACACTGTAACAATGAGACGTGCATGAAATCTAGATGTACAAATATCTTGAATTACAACTACTTTGAGCGTGTGAAGATTAGTTAATTAGTACATAATGATATTAAATTATTCTCCCCCTATCTGAAATCCCGATTGCTCAGCGGTAAGTCTCAAAACTTAAATAACTTTAAAAATCGAGTTTCGATACATCCAGTGGCCAGAACACAGATAGCCCATTGTGTAACTTTGCGCTTAACGACAAACAAACAAAACCAAAAATATATAACACATTTCCCCCGTATAAGTTTTTGAATTTCGCGCAAAGCTACACGAGGGCTATCTGCGCTAGTAGTCCCTAATTTAGCAGCGAAGACTAGAGGGAAGGCAGATAGTCATCATCACCCACCGCCAACTCTTGGGCTTCTCTTTTACCAACGATTAGTGGGATTGACCGTCACATTATAACGACCCCACGGCTGAAAGGGCGAGCACGTTTGGTGGGACCGGGATTCGAACCCGCGACCCTCAGATTGCGAGTCGAGCTTCCTATCCACCTGGCCATGCCGGGAATTATAAGGTTTTGGCCAGCTCGGGTTAACATACTCAAATATAACTCGAGAGATAAACATTTTTCGTATCGGTTGCACAACTATTTAAACTAGAGAAAATGGTGAAGAATTACATTGAAAAAGAAATAGGGAAAAAATGTGAGACAGCTGTAAGTATTACTGGATAAACCATTAAACATTACACGTTACGATAGCGGCGTACAAAATTCTAATTTGTCCCTGTAAGTCATATCTTTGATCGTATTTGAAGAAAGAAGATTCCCTAATCGCACTTAAACTAGCATTTTAAACTTTGTTTTCTTTATCTAATTGCATGGCTTCCCATTGTGAAATCTGTTCTGTGCCATTTTCTTGTATTGAACCTATAATTTTAGTGATAGCTTACTGCTGAGCCACCGGTAGGTGTCACAGAATGACAGAAACTATTATAACCGACTAGGAATGGACTAAGGAATGGACTCTTTTGGAACCAGTCGATACAAAATAAATCAAGTCTCAGGACTGAAATGTATAGAAACCAGTTGATCTGAATAGATGGTACAAGTCTCTGAGTGTTTTTTTTTTCTTATCAGTAGTTGGTGAAACAACCGAAACTGCCGCTTGTTGGGAAGCAGGAAATATATATTAAATGACAACCAAGACTGTCACATCTATAAATCAGGGTACAACATACATAATAACCAAGACTGTCACTTGATGTGAAGCAGGGTACATAATACACAACAACCAAGACTGTCACTTGCTGTGAAGCAGGGTACATCATACATAACAACCAAGACTGTCACTTGCTGTGAAGCAGGGTACATCATATATAACAACCAAGACTGTCACTTGATGTGAAGCAGGGTACATAATACACAACAACCAAGACTGTCACTTGCTGTGAAGCAGGGTGCATCATACATAACAACCAAGACTGTCACTTGCTGTGAAGCAGGGTACATCATACATAACAACCAAGACTGTCACTTGCTGTGAAGCAGGGTACATCATACATAACAACCAAGACTGTCATTTGATGTGAAGCAGGGTACATCATACATAACAACCAAGACTGTCATTTGATGTGAAGCAGGGTACATAATACATAACAACCAAGACTGTCATTTGATGTGAAGCAGGGTACATCATACATAACAACCAAGACTGTCACTTGCTGTGAAGCAGGGTACATCATACATAACAACCAAGACTGTCACTTGCTGTGAAGCAGGGTACATCATACATAACAACCAAGATTACCACTTGCTGTGAAGTAGAAGAACACATTACGTAACAACCAAGAATCACTTGATATAAAGCTGGATACATTATATATTTTGAGAAATATACATCTTCACAAAGTTAAAATAAAATCTTAAAGAATTATGAGTTAGTTGTGATCTACGTCTTTACAATAAATAATTATGAGTTAGTTGTGATCTACGTCTTTACAATAAATAATTATAAGCTGATTGTGATCTACGTCTTTACAATAAATAATTATAAGCTGATTGTGACCTACGTCTTTACAATAAATAATTATAAGCTGATTGTTATCTACGTCTGCATAATACCGAATTACGAGCTGATTGTAATATACGTCTTTAAGATAAATAATTATGAGTTAGTTATGATCTACGTCTTTATAATAGATAATTATGAGTTAGTTGTGATCTACGTTTTTACAATAAATAACTATAGGTTAGTTGTGATCTACGTCTGTATTATAACGAATTGTGAGCTCATTCTGATATCCGTCTGTATAATAACGAATGCATATTATCAAAACAGCATTGCGATGGGAAAATTATAAAAAAAAAGGGAAGGAAAAAAACGGTTCGTACTTCAAGGTCGAATGGAGGGCGTAATACCCGTTAAACAGTAAACATTTATAATATATGTATTATGAAGTAACTACCACTGTGTCAGAACTAATAACATCTGTAAATAGTTCTGAAACACTACTTAAAGTTTTATAACATCGACTTTGATTTCTGTTAGGCTTTTTTTTTGTTCTCGTTTTCCGTCAAAGATATTTCTCTTCTCAAGGATATTATAATATGCTGACTTCATCTATGTCACAACATTTAACTGTGGGCAACAGTATGAAAAATTAGTAGAAGTTGTTTGTTTGCACATGCTTTAATATTTAAAAGATAATTTACACGACAAGTTCAAGGTTTGGTTTATGCAGGAACCAGGGAACTTTATATCGCGACTTCTTGTGAACGGATAAGACCAACTAGGGAGTCAGTTTTTAATTATAACTTTTCATTCAACCATTAAAACGTTCGCTAAGTGATCTTGAAAGATGTAGATAATATCCAAAATCTGCTTTCTTTATTTTTCTGAATGAATTATTTTGAGCATACTAGATTATAGACTAACTCTATACGCCATTAGATATTTATGGAACCGGTCCTTGCGCGTATATCCTGATAAGTAATACACTGAAATGTATTGTGTTATTGGAAAGTATCGGTTCTGGTTCTATTATGGCTGCATTCCGGTTTTGCTTTAAATGTGTTTAAGGATTTCGTGACCATTAAAAACCAAGTAACAGTTGTATTTAACATGTTAATTGAAATAAGCCTCATCACGTACTCACAATTATAAAAATATTAACATTTCTTTAAAAGTAAACACTGTAATCCAAATAACAATTCTATTTAACATGTTAATTGAAATAAGCCTCATCATGTACTCATAATTATAAAAATATTAACATTTCTTTAAAGTAAACACTGTAATCCAAGTAACAGTTGTATTTAACATGTTTATTGAAATAAGCCTCATCATGTACTCACAATTATAAAAATATTAACATTTCTTTAAAGTAAACACTGCAATCCAAGTAACAGTTGTATTTAACATGTTAATTGAAATAAGCCTCATCATGTACTCACAATTATAAAAATATTAACATTTCTTTAAAGTAAACACTGTAATCCAAAACCAAACATATTTCGTTCAGTAAAACTTTGTATGCACATACGTTCAGAGTAAATGTTTGATATAAATGACGTGATGTTTTACAGCAACTAACTCCATAGTCGTGTCGAATGTAAAACAAAATTAACAGTTAACAGAAGTATTTTCGAAATATTTAACTAATGATTGAGAAGAGAAAGACATTAAAATTTATTTACATTGTTTGTTTGTTTGTTTTTTTCCTATACAGCTATTACTATTGGTGTCAGGATATTTGGCCCGGTCTTTGGTTTCCTGTTGGGATCATTTTGCATTGGTGTATATGTAAATTTTCCATTTGGTAAGTTCCATAATTATTTTGTCTATTATTAGCAGTCAACTTTTCATATGATGTTGCTTTGTTTGTTTCTAAGTTAGCGTGCAGTTAAAAACAAACTAGCGGATAGTGCGCCTCACTAAGTGTGTATCCGCTGAAGGAAACACACCGATATTATTCATATTATATAAAATATGTAGATATGATAAGCAGAATACCACAGTTGAAATAAAAACTTTTACTGGGGAAGTTTTGAGCAAACAGTCTTTGTCAAGTTGATAGGCTTAGTTAAGGCTTAACAAAGATCGTTTTGCAAAACTTCTCGCAATAAAGATTTGTTTTATTTAAATGAATTTATTCTCTTATTTATTATTGAATTCTTATGTATATCTTCGTGTTCATATATAGAATCATTTTAGACACTTTTTTTTTATTTATTGAAGAAACTGCTAAGCATCTGACCGCTGATGACCCACAATGGGTTGGTGCTTGGTGGTTAGGCCTATGTATGGTTGGTGCCACGTTATTTCTGACAGTTATCCCAATGGCGTCTTTCCCTCGCCAACTTCCCCAGTCTTACTCCTCTCCACAACGCCAGGTGGCGCATGTACAGCTGAATGGTCAGATGAAAGGAAAGACGTGTAACAACAACCAACAGGAAAAGGCATTACTCGGCAAACACAGCTGGAAGAAAAATAACACCTTGAAATGTAAGTCACACAAAAATACTGTAAAGATTTGTCACCGTTAGTACAAAATTTAATTGAACTGAACTTTGCTTTTAGAAATATTTTTGGTGAGGTAAAAATATTGTATCATTTTGAGTAGCCCCCTCCCTCCTAGTGGCTGAACGATAATTCCGAGGGCTTATAACGCTAAAAACTGGGTTTCGATACCGCGGTCGGTAGAGCACAGATAGCCCATTGTGTAGTTTTGTGCTTATGTGCAAACAAACATATAAAGAATGTGTGGGATCGGCCTTTTTAATGTAAAAGACACAACTGATTGGGCCCGGCAT